TGCACAAATCCGAGACCTACACGGTGATGACTTCCCCTGGTGCATTAGTTTTAGAGCAGCAATCGTATGTGTTCCAATTATTGTTTTGTGCGCAATTGTCGAGCAGAATTTTACACGCAGCCGACGTCGTATACCCTATTTCCGTTGGTTATTGAATCTGTGACACTTTCCTAACTGTGGATCACGTCCATCAGCTATCAGCTGGTCACATCAACCAGCCGGCTGGACGCCGGAAACTGGTTAGCCAAAAATAGCCTTGAAATGAAGTGTCGCGCTTGGTTTTGAGGGTACTTAGCAGCCGACTTTACCTGATTTTGTCTTATTTGCCCCGAAATGCTTTCCCTTAAAATGACGGGAGCCGCTATGATCTGGGGGAAGTGTAAACGCTCCGTGGATGTGCATACGCACCACCAATCCTTGTCTAGGATTGCGCAAAAGAAGGTGTGTCCCCGTGTAAAAGGAGCATGTGCAAAAATATTCAAGTGCCATGGTCAGAATACGAGAATTTTTTACAGGCGGTTTCAAACTCCACGAGAAGTAACAATGTTACCAATCCTCTCCCCTTCCTTGACGAAATCCTGAATCCGCCACTTCTCCTTGATGACCCTTCACTTAATCACTCCTCGCACTTGTTGATCTGTCTAGGTAGAGAATGTCAATCCCATTACACTTGTGAGGACGTCGGTTGTAATAATTATAACTTGTTTGTCAGCCCTGGCTTTGTTTCGTGCTGCATTCTGAGGGTGATCCATCATTACAACTGTGATTGGGCAATCAGAGTATCAACAAGGGAGGCCGTGGGTTCAAGACCCCACCCAAAGTGTGCTCCTCTGCTAGTCTGTCCGCATGTGTTGATCATGCCAAAATGTGCGCAACATGCAATATTGTACCACAATGAAATATTTGTGGCATGCTAAGGCTTTGAGGGTTTCTCAGCGCGTTGTTCCATTTTTCGTGTATTACGCGATAAATACAGATGCTATGAGGCGTTTCGGAATACCTCTTGAAGAGAGTACTACAAAACTCCGTCACAGACAGAGAGCACACGTCACCCATTCACTCGCGTGTGCTACAGGCTAGACCAGCACTTAAACGCGACAGCGCACAAACCGACGACAGCATGGCCGCGCGTAACAGACGTCGAGATGGGAACGAACTGGTACACCACACTGACGTCATTGTGGGTCACATGCCCTCGCGGTTGACAAGCTAAAATGAGATCATTTGGATACGCTACCATTCACCTTGCAGACACAAACACGCTGCAGTCGCATCGGAGCACGAATTTGAAGGCAGAGGGAGCCGCTCTTCTTTTCCCGGCAAGGAATGCGTAAGGCAGAGATAACAAATACTGCGAGTGTTTCCGTCTATCCATTGATGAACAGTGCGTGTCTTAGGTTCACTGGCAATGTACTCGCCCCAGCTCTCAGCTGACCTATGACGTCAGCACCGACTACGAACCATCAACACTGGGCCATCGCTGACCCAGTTTTGGTGCTCGTGCTGACCCCCGACCGCATAGGCTCTTAGCCACGTGCCACCATGCTTCAGTTTCAGTGCATGATGACTACGTTACTGCTTGTGCTTGTGTAGACGTGACGATAGCACCGGCGGCGGAACGGGGTCTTCTTGCTCGTATGAGCACCTCTTCACCCAAATTAGGCAAGTCAGAAAATAGCAAGAGCAATGCACACACATATCTCGATGCAAATATCATCACCGAACGCTCTCGAGACGCGAAAAGCTCTCCACCGTGCAACATAAACCGGACTGAAATTAATTAATTAATGAACCGGATGTTCAAACCTGAATGAATATCCTAGCACATGAACATCTTACAGCCATCAAGTGCCCATGTCTCTCCCGGAGTTTACGTGTAAACATGGAATTTTCTACAGCGATCGAAATGCCGGGCACACAATGTCTCCAGTAGCACTGATTAAGATGCCTACATTCACGTCAGCCGGCTGTCACCGTAGTTACCCAGCCGTGTC